CATGCCACCTACGCTCGGTTATCATCAAACTAAGAGGAAGCGGTTCCTTCTGCCGTGTCAAAGCAGCGTGTGAGCGAAAGCTGGTTGTGACCGTTCACTGAGGGATGGCACTCCCAGAGGCAGAGGAACCACAGCGTGAAGCACTGGGCCATAAAACCGGCCTGCGAAGACCAGACTGGATGGCAAAGAGCTTTTGGATGTCTCATTGTGATTTAAAGACCAAGGACACATTCAGTCATGGATGAACGTCTCCTGTTCCCCTGCTGCTGGTAGGACTGCCTGCTAACACGTTCTGACAGGCACCACAGAGGTTAGCAGCACAGACACACACAGACAGCAACACACACTCAAAATACGCACGCAGAACATCGGGAACGATTCAGAGCAGCGGTGCCCTCATTCAAGAGGGGAGTAAAAAGCTGCTCCTCTACGATACAGACATGCCTTGAGCCAGGGCGCCTTAGCTCCTGCATCCCTAGCAAAGCTCGTCACAGGTATTATGGTTTTCATCTGGCCTGCTGGGTTCAACGGGTTCACCCACGGTACCCCTGGTACTGTTACTGTACAATAAGTGTGTCCATATGACCGGGCTACGCTAGGATTTAAAGCTTTAAAGTGAGCGGCAGTTTCCAACCCCAGCCTCTCGAAGGTGCTGGATAAGAGTACCGGGCAGCTTCTCAAGCCCTTTCGCACTCAACCTTAATGATACACGCTCCTTTGAAGTCACATTCTTTTAAAACCAGAGGGCCGAGGCACTACGGCGAACCATCTATCAGCCACAGGAGACAGCTCTTGTCCCTGAGGGCCCAGTTAAGAGCAAGTGGGGGTACATCTGGATGGGAACCATCTGGTGAAGGGGTATCTGTTTGGCTACCAGTGCATTAGGCAGGTCTCCTGACCACACCACCAGGAGAAAAAAAAAGGAAGCTCTAATGCAGCTCGCGGGGCCCCACAGAGGCCCTTGGTCTGAGAAGTAAAGACAGCATTGTACAGATGAGGTCCCGCTTTGGTCAGCATTACGCATGTCTAAGGTATGGATGCGTGCTTGGGGGGCAAGAGTTGCTGGTTCCCCTCCAGCTAAATCTGTCCAGATGGAAACGAGTCAAGCAATAAATCCTAACCTCATAGGACGAGTATCACTTTAAAAATGTCCCTTTATTTATCCATAAATTTCTTCATAAGGATATATTTCCTTCATTCTTTCACTAAATATAGAAAATAGGTCCTACCCCATTAAGGTTACAACTGTCCTGAAACAGAATCTGTGGGACCTTTTGAAATAATCTCAATTAAGATAAATCCAGGGTCCCGTATACTGTGGATTTAGCTTGGCCCTTTTTATTTTGGTGGACGTTTAAACCATCATTAACGTCGATCTCTGAAGGCCTTGCTGGCTTTTCAGTTTACTCTCTTCAGATAAAACAGTGCCGTTTCTACTCTAATCTGTTTCTAAATCTAAAACGGACCTTGGACTGGGCAATCACATGGATGGGTTTTTTTCCCCATGTTCATAGGATTATACAGCAAAACTTTGCTACCACAATGCTCTCCAGCTTCACTGTGCTAATGCTTACGGCACTGTATTGTATTGCAGAACACATATTCCAATCTAGGCGTGCAGCTCAATAAAAGGCTGTTAGCGTTTGTTTGTTTTTTCTATAGGTACCGTTTTAGTTCTTTTCACTAAACCACTTAACTAAAGTGAGAAAAACAGAATTAGAATATCCGCATAATGCTCAGTGAAGGTGCAGATTTAAACCTCCAACATAATGTTCCGCCATGAAGAGACACGGAACACGAAAATGGATTTTAAAAACTTTATTTATTTTTTTTTTAATATCACCTGACTTCAGAGCAACGGACGACAAGCCCTTCCCATCAGCACTATCTTGCTGTGCGCTCATATCTCTGTGGCCTGACTGGAAACGCAGCTCAAATGACACTCGATTGCAGCCAGGAGCCGTCCGCAACGTTCGATTTTATATGACAAGAAATATGACAGCGGCTGATCAGAGCTATCGATGGGAGAGACAAAACTGCCAGCATGATGTAGTAATGACGGTGTTTTTCTGAGCGGTGTCACCATGCAGCTGAAGGTCATCACGCTGGACATCAGGGCGGGGTCTGTGTGTGTGTGTGTGTAGGGCTCAGCCTGACCGCTTGATGGAAAAGGAGACTAAAAGCTACATGCAGGGATATTCTCACTCTCTCACATACACACACACACTTCTCTGCCCTTGAAAAAAGATCAAAGTCTGACACAGCCAACGAGTGTGTCCATGCTACAGTGAACATGACTTCACCACAAGATGTACGGCTGGGCGCGTCTTCAGGCGACAAATCAGATTAAACCAGAGTTCTGCAGTCTTTCATTGAAAGTTCCAGCAGAAAATTTATGAAACGTCAAGGAAAAAACAACATTTAACATCATAATTTCAGCAATTAACAGACAAACAGTTTGGTGTGAACCAGTGAACCATTTACTAACAAGACTGATTACAAACCTGGCAAGTTAAATAAATTCACATTTTATTCTTTCAATACGGAGAGCAGGTGTTGCCATTTTATGATAAAGCGGTTTTGCATCACACTTTAGAAATTTGCTTTCTTTTGTCTCTCAAGCAGGAACACTTATGTTTTAGTGTTCTAGACGAAAACTGATGCCTTGATGCCCCCCAGCCCATCTACACGCCACATAATTCACATTTTAATTGCGCCAGTCTGATGTAGAAGTTGCGGGAGATTTACAATCACCGGTTTAAACCATTCATAAAGAACAAGGTTTAAAAAATAATATTTCACTCATCTGCAGGTTCCCCTCCCTGCCTCCATTCATCCAGTTGGCAGTAAGCTTCTTAAGTGAATCCAAAAAGAATGACTTATCTGCGTCTACAGGCTCTCATACAGACGCTCTCAAATCGAGGCCCGACCACAGCGTCTCCTGCCAGTGAGGCTTAATAATTCCTCCTGAAGAATATTCTCAGCATGTGTTGTCAGAACAGCTTTTACACAGTTTTTTTTTTGTCATTGTTTTCTTTCCTTTCAGAGGACCAGTAAGTCGCAATTATCACCTCTTGTCAAACAAATAATAGTTCCTTCTCAGATCTATGCTGGCAAATCAGACAATTTTAAATGAATCTGTTAACTATATGTACCCATGTCATTTTTAAAAGACGATTAATAGAAATCGATTAAGATTTCATGGCTCTTATGTGTTACAGATAGATAAGTGCAGCTGGCTAAATCCGCTTTCCGGTGTCTCCTGAAACTACTCGCTAATCATAATCAGCACGTTGGTCTAATCTGATTTTTTAGCAGTTTACACACCTTGTTTAAAGTGGGAAGCTGCAGAGGCCCTGGAAGCTAGCTGCAAGGTGAAGAGCTTTACCTTCAGAAGATTGGTAACAAGTGCATCATTTGCAAACATTATCTGCAAAATATACCTGCAAGACGTGAGAAAACTCCAGGAGGAAAGGCTAAGAACCAGGAGTAAAATAAGTGGTGTGTCACGGCACCTTTGGCACGCACACACCCCGCTTGTCACACTTTGGCCAGACTGGTGATTAACGTGGAAGTGATTATATAGAGCGCAGTCATGCTTCCACATGCCGCACACAAGAATCTAAAACACTGCACTGTTCCCATGAGAGTACTGCCATGTTCCTATATCTGTACCATTATCAAAGCAGGCCCGTCAGTCTGTGGCCTGAGGCGCGTGCGAGCAGCAGGTCTACCGGCAGAGAAGTGCAACTGTTTCCTCTCCGATGGTCGGGTTCCACCACAGCCATTGGTTAAAGCCCCAGCGAAATGGTTTTACACACGTCACACACCTCTGCTGATTATTATCGAACAGGAAGCTCTTACAGATGCAAAGCAAAAGCTAATAGACAATTCTCAAACGGCAAAGAAAACTTCCAACCCAGGGAACAGCTGTCCCCGCATGGGATATGCATGGTGTCTACATGCACAGCTGCATGTTGACGTGATGTCCCTGTGCATCCTGATAGGAAGCTTCAGAACAAAACGGACGAAGGAAAAAATAAAAAAATAATGCGAGGCATAGAGACCCCTCTCCCAAAAAGGGTCACGATGCCCTCAGACGCACCTAGCCAAAACACGAAATTCCTACAGAAATTCCATAATCCATTACAGATTTATAATCCAGAGCGGATTTGGCAGGATTCTGCTTTCAGCAACAGAAATTCCTGTTTCTAGGTCACGGAATGTATACGTACATATACACAGAAAAAAAAAATCTGGTCCTAAATATAGGCCTCTCTGTCGTTAAGACATTCCAGCCTCAGAGGTATTTATAATAATCCATTTCATGCCTGTATTATGATTTGACATGCAAAGGGCAGGGGGTGGGGGGACAGACTGCTGACTTCTCTGCAGATTTATTCACGCTTGGGTCACTTCCTTTCAACAATCTGGACGCATTATTCACAACATATGTCCTTGCATTCGTATTCAACTTCCAGCGACTGTACAGCCAATGACATTATCATGTAGGCTTTACAGTTAAATAAGTATTTCAAAACAGGTGAAGCATCTGATTGAGCCTTGACTATATTAAAAAACACCCGTGGACTAAAGGCCCCTTCAATGCACAGACATTGACCAACCAATGGTGCTTGAGTAGATTTCATTGTGGCAACATCTAAAGGAAAGCTCATTTGCACCAGTGACGACTAAAATCTGTTGTAAAAAAAAAGTTGAGACACCACAAGTGACTTGCAATGACGTGCTTTGTGAAAAATCTGTTTTAAGGTCTCCAAATATTTGCATTTGGTCTTCTTCGCGCCAAATGATAGAAGAACAAAATGAGGAAGGCCAGAGACCATCATGTTCAAATTTCCAATTGAATTTCTTCCAACCATGTGCCGTACAGACAGAGGCATTTCTTAATGCAAGGAAGTTTGCCTTTTGATTTAATAAGATAGCATGTGTTGGTATTATACACAGCAAACCAAGAAGCCCTTAAAAGCAAAGGATCTTACCTCCAACACTGGTCCAGCTCCCAGGATGATCTGCTCCACCCCACTGGCGAAGCCCTTTTGGCTGAGAGCAGTCAGGTGATGGATGAGGAAATTGGTGCTCTGGGTCTTTCCCGATCCGCTCTCCCCGGAAATGACGATGCACTGGTTTTTCCGCCGCTGCAGCATGGCGTGATACGCCACGTCCGCCACGGCGTAAATGTGAGGCTCCAGCTTTCCCAGCGTGTGGTTGTCGTAGAGTTTGACGTATTTGGGATTGTAGATTGGCAAGAACTGGAAGGGGTTGACCACGATGAGAATGCTCCCGATGTACGTGTAGATCTTCTCCTGTCGGAAGCGTGCGCGGAGGCTTTCCAGAAGGGCTCGCTCCGTCAACTCCGGAAGCGCGCAGAGATCGGAGGGAGGGTCGCTCCCCGCGGGCTGAGGGAGGAAACCTCGCTCCACCATGCATCGGCGCTCCTCGGTCACCCGCAGCCACATCTGCAAGCTGCCGCCGTAGTGGATGGACCCGTCCAGGTTCTTCTCCCGCAGCAAGAAGCGGTAGTCCTCGCCGCTGCCCAGGCCAGCGCGGTTCTCCAGGGCGCTCCTCGGCCACAGCATCATGCGCTGAACGGGGCAGTCGCTGGGGTTGAGGATCCACTCCTCCCCTCCGAACTCCTTCACCTCGGCCAGCACGTAGCACTTGGTGCGGTCCAGGCGCAGCCTCTCGATGAGGCCCTCGATGGCTTCGGCGGCGGTGGTGTTCTTGCGGGCGCCGACGGGGCAGTAGATGGTGCCCTCGGCCAGGGAGCCCGGGTAGACCCGCAGGCTGAACTCCTGGTCCTCCAGGCGCCGCCGCATGCTGCCGGTAATGGAGGCCAAATTGGCGCTGCCGGCATAGTTGCAGCCGCCATCTTGTAAGCTCATGGCGGCGCAGCAGGTCCCATCAGCGAACTGCTCCCTGGGACCGGTGGACTGACTCAGGACATCCCAACTACAGGAAGACAGAGATGGAGAGAAAGGTCAATAAGGGTTTTTAAAGAAAAACAACATTTTTTTCCAAAAGGTAGCAGAACAAAAGATTCACTTCATACTCTCACAGCTTCAGGCAGTTCTACTTTGAATGACAAATCAGCAGGTGAAACTATACAGACTTCATAATTGTGCGAGAAGACTCGATGACCTTTCTGCTCTAAATCATAAAGTGAAACCAACCGTCACAAATGCTTCACAAGAGGAGCATGGGACAGAATCAATGAGAGGGGAAAAAGAACGGGCCGATAGCTCTTCAAAACAGTGAGAAACAGTAGCTGCTTCATTAATAGCCACAGCCCTGAGCTTATCAGAAATACATACCCTCTTTTAGAGACTGTGTGCGTGTGTGTGTGTGTGTGTGTGCTCGTGATAATCCAGAGGCTGTAAACGCGTGCCAAGATTAACAGCTGCCGCCATCCACACAAGAGCGGCTGTAATGAGAGCACAATGGTATAATTCACCGCTTCCCTGCTGATAGTGGACACGGCACTTCATTCTCCAACTCCTTTTCAGTCAAAGGCGCGCACACAAAACAGATACACACAGTCAAGCTCCACAGACTATGTTCTTTTCCAGTGTGACATTTGGAACGGCTCATAGGGGGCAACTGAGGGCAAGTGTAAGTGTTGGAAGGAAATCAAACCGTAGAAACAACTATTTGGTTGAAAGTTACTTGCAAATAGTAAAGACAACAATGCAGAATACGCATTCTAACTATTATTTATTAGTTGTTTTCATGCTGATCTGTCAGTTGTTTTGAGCTTTGTATACTACACTGAGACACTTTTGGGTTAACAGAGGAAGACGAGCGTTAGGGTTGGGGGGGGGGGGGGGGCGTGGAAGGAAGAGAGGATGAGCCAGCCAATTGCCCTTTCGGTGTTCCAGACAGCGCTCCCTCCTGCTGCCCGGAGTAATCCCGACCACCTACAGCAGTCTGCAGCAGCCCACCATCAGCAGACAGGAACAGAGTGAGGAAACAGACAGCCATGTGTCTGGAAAACAAAGAGGTGGACTACGGGGGAGGAAAGAAGGAGCAGCAGCACAAGATACAGTATAGGTGGGGGGGAAGGGGGTGGTAGGTTTTGAAAATTCTATGTGTTCTGACCATGAGCTGTTTGCACATATCCAGAAGTCAAGATTCAGGTCTATTTTTCTGAAACACAAATCGAGTCAGCAATAACGCTACTGTGTGAAGCCCTGCTTTTAGTATTTTTGTATAAACAGTAAACACTTGGGAAGTTGCTACTTCAGTTCCCAGCGTATCATATGCATCACCAGTAGAGCAAAAAAAATTGTGCATATAAGATGCTGTACAAGTAGTCTATATGTCAACAAGCAAGAGTAAAAAAAATAAAAAAATAAAAATAGTGCAGTGGATGAAGGGGGCATCATACAGGGGTTGGACAATGAAACTGAAACACCTCTCATTTTAGTGTGGGAGGTTTCATGGCTAAATTGGACCAGCCTGGTGGCCAATCTTCATTAATTGCACATTGAACCAATAAGAGCAGACTGTGAAGGTCTAATTAGCAGGGTAAGAGCACAGTTTTGCTCAAAATATTGCAATCCACACAGCATTATGGGTGACATACCAGAGTTCAAAAGAGGACAAATTGTTGGTGCATGTCTTGCTGGCGCATCTGTGACCAAGACAGCAAGTCTTTGTGATGTATCAAGAGCCACGGTATCCAGGGTAATGTCAGCATACCACCAAGAAGGACGAACCACATCCAACAGGATTAACTGTGGACGCAAGAGGAAGCTGTCTGAAAAGGATGTTTGGGTGCTAACCCGGATTGTATCCAAAAAACATAAAACCACGGCTTCCCAAATCACGGCACAATTAAATGTGCACCTCAACTCTCCTGTTTCCACCAAAACTGTCCGTTGGGAGCTCCACAGGGTCAATATACACGGCCGGCCTGCTATAGCCAAACCTTTGGTCACTCGTGCCAATGCCAAACGTCAGTTTCAATGGTGCAAGGAGCGCAAATCTTGGGATGTGGACAATGTGAAACATGTATTGTTCTCTGATGAGTCCGCTTTTACTGTTTTCCCCACATCCGGGAGAGTTACGGTGTGGAGAAGCCCCAAAGAAGCGTACCAGCCAGACTGTTGCAGGCCCAGAGTGAAGCATGGGGGTGGATCAGTGATGGTTTGGGCTGCCATATAATTGCATTCCCTTGGCCCCATACTGCTAGATGGGCGCGTCACTGCCAAGGACTACCGAACCATTCCGGAGGACCATGTGCGTCCAATGGTTCAAACACTGTATCCTGAAGGACGTGCCGTGTATCAGGATGACAATGCACCAATACACACAGCAAGACTGGTGAAAGATTGGTTTAATGAACATGAAAGTGAAGTTGAACATCTCCCATGGCCTGCACAGTCACCAGATCTCAATATTATTGAGCCACTTTGGGGTGTTTTGGAGGAGCGAGTCAGGAAACATTTTCCTCCACCAGCATCACGTCGTGACCTGGCCTCTATCCTGCAAGAAGAATGGCTTAAACTCCCTCTGACCACTGTGCAGGACTTGTATATGTCATTCCCAAGACGAATTGACGCCGTATTGGCCGCAAAAGGAGGACCTACACCATACTAATGAAGTATTGTGGTCCAAAACCAGATGTTTCAGTTTCATTGTCCAACCCCTGTATATACCGTTCAATTTTGTTAACATAATGTCGTCATGGCTTGAGCACAAACAGATAAGAATAGCTGCCCTTATACTTTGATGATGTCATGTAGACATACAAGAAAAAATAAGAACGACTCGGTTTACCGCTGGGCGTGTCAAGCTTTGCCAAAAGTGGTCGACAGGAAAAATGATTTTTCATTGCAACAGCGTGACCAAGCCTCTATAAATACATCAGCTCACGAGCAGCTAGTAGAGTAAGGTATATAACCCGTAGAGCTGGTTATAACCCGTAATGTAGCTGAAACTGCACTTAACGCTGCGGCATCTCTCAGAATGCGCTTGACAAGACCTCCGACTCAGCAAAACGAGCTATGGACATACCCATCTAGCTCCCAGCAGAATAAACCGCAATGACTTATTCAACACAACTATTCGTCACTGCATATCTAAACAATTTAGAGTGCTACTGCCAGTTAGCTCCTGCAAATCAACCTCAATTTACTGAACTCTGTGAAGCTGATGAGAGACGATTTGCTTTTTTCGTAAAATTTCAAAAAGCAGTTTCAACATCTAGTGGCTGAATCTGACCAATATTCCCATCACTCTGCTTTCCAGTTTCTTATTTTTACAGGTTGACAACACCAAAGGGATGATCCAGGCTATAAATTAAGCGGCATTGTGCTTTTTTGTGCGTCAGCTTCCAGTTCTCTACTTGGTTTTGAAGCAGCACAGGGAGGCAGACGAGTGTTTTGTAACTCCTGTGTGTTTTTCCATATTCAAATCACGGAATGAGTCAGCGCCCATAAAACCAGCTAGTGTCTGGTCAGAAACAAATTGCTTTTCATTCCAGAAACAGCAAAGCCGTTGGAAATATGGACCACCTCGGCTAAACACATTTTATCCAAAGACAGAGAAGGAAAAAAAACTACTTCCCAGCGCAGTGCCCTGTGATGCACAGCGAGACACACGGAAAAAAGACTAAATGAAAGGCTAAACGGATCATCAGTTTGAAGAACACAAGGGCAATCCAAAGCTCTAATTTGTGTAATGACATTTGGTTCCCTCCGAGACAACGAGGCACAAAAAGCTTAGTCCCAACTCAGAAAAAGCAACAAACAAAAATGAATAGATAAAGCAAAACAATGCAAGTCTTTGGAAAACAACTTGAAAGAAAATCTATGATGTAATTTAGATCAAGAGACCCCATTTGTCAGTTTTTCCTGAGGTCAATCCACTAACATTTTAAAAAGCTGGAAAGCTGTAATGGACCCTCCCTGTTGGTCAGTCATGTAAACCAAATTATGATCGCAAATAGAGCTGCGGTGTAGGCCCCCAAAATGTTGAGGAAGTCCCTTCTGGAATTTCACTGAAGTTGATGACATTCAGGTAGAAATTGGACGGCTATTTGACACAAAGCCTTTAATGTAAAGAACTGACACAACTTCATTACTCCGAGTCCACGACTTATTGCAAAAAATCTCGTGTTGACAGAGTTTTGACAATGATGAATGAAGCCGGGAGGCGATGGAAGCCAAATACGGGAGAGAAGTGTGTGGGACAGAGGGATGAAAGTTTAGGGGAGAGGGAAAAAAATGCACAGGAAGCTAAATGTCTGTTACCTCTTGTTATGACAGTCAAATTTAAAGTGCTGACAGCATGTTAAGATAAGCTTGTGCTTTAAAGCCAAGGAAGAATGAAAGAGTAGAGGAGATCTTAATGAGGGTGTGCCAGTCAGCTGACTTGTGGGCAGGTTCAGCTCGGGGTCAGGGATACTCACATCTGTCATTCAGGTGGTGGAAGAGTGCAGATGTTAGACAACAGGGCCCCTTCTAAACAGTGCATAAAATAAAAAAAAAAAAAAAAAAAAAAGTACCAGCCAAAGAAAAGAAGGATAAAAGTTTAGAGTTTGAGTTTGGAGAGAAGAATTCAAACGACAAAAGACAGAACTAGAGCTTCTAATTCTGTTTAAAACGTTAAAATAGTAGCAGGAGGTCGTAGGCGCTGGCTTTAAGTGCTCTCCCAAACATCAGCCTCGAGCTTTGAATGAGATTAAAAGACTATTTACCTGACAGACGTCCACACCTGGACACAGCTGGGCATGGACAGACTTTCAAAACCACTCCATGGTAAATATGAACTGGTCTGTTGAACTGAAACCAGTTTCAGTCGACATTTAAACATTCATATGAAAATGAGACGAATAAAAAAAAAGGGTATTGCATTGGGCTAGTTCCCATTCACACATCTCTTTTTGTGCTACAACGCTTTAAAAAGTCATTTCATCTTCCAAACCGTGAACTGTACACAAACTTTTT